CTCTGCCCCGGGCCGGGGGCAGGTGAGCGCCTGGGGTTGCTGCTGCTGTGCTGAGCCCAGAGTACAAATTCATTTAAAAAAATCACTAAAAGTGACGCTGATTATTTTTTAAACTTTGTGCAAACACCTTACACCAGTTAGCAACTCCTGTTGGTTTTGTCAAAGTTCTGTAGCGTGCGTGCTCCGTAACCAGACTTGGCCCTTTTCTACAGAAAAGAAAAATTGAAGTGAACTGCAAGTCGAGATTAAATTTTAGTTAGTAAAAGTTAAAAATGCTTTCTTTTTTTATTTTTTTTTCCCCTTCTCCATCGGTCAGCTCCTAAACTTAGCTTGGGCGCTCAGAAATGAAACTGGACTATAGTTCTTCAACATGTTCAGGTGAAATCCTGTGTCATGTTTAGTGTCTTCCCACTCTCCACACACCAGAACACTAAAAATGCGATCACGTATTTACAGGGACACAAGCACTGTATTCTTCTGAGCAAATCAACTCGCGTGTCGGTGGTTAGGTAAGTCAGTCAGATCACAGCATGTGCAAGCAGTAAATGTGCAGGACCCAGTTGTGCCCATTCTGTATCTTTGCGAACCCACTGGTACAGATGAGATGTGTGGCAGTGAATGGCAGCAGGATTCTGTCCCAGAGCAGGCTACAGCTGGCTGTAAATTTGCATCCCTTCCATGAGTAGCAGTGCTTGAGTCGATTGCGTTGTGTTGCATAGCGTGGGACGGGCTGCTATATGGCCTCAGTAAAATTAAATGCCTCAAAAAGGGATGAGGTGAAAGAGGGATTTTGGGGATGGTTTCTCTGGTTGGGTTTTGTTTTTGGGAGGCAAGGGTGGCGTCTTCTCTTTTCACTTGCCTGAACCCACAGCGCTAACATGATTAGACTTTTTCCAGAATAGGAAGATCAAGTATGGCCCGAAGCAGGTAATTACCGTGGTGATGTAGAAGGGCTCTTTTAGCTCTGTGTTAATGTCAGATCAATGTTTCGCACGCCTCACTATGGCAGTCCATTCCGCTCGTTGCCACCATAATCTTTTAAATTATGACATCTTTCAAAAATATGAAGTGCCTACAAATTAAGCTTGTGCTGACGTATTTGCAACTTGAACTACATAGCAGAGAAAAATCAGTTGCAACTATGGAGTCCTTCCTAGTTTGTATTGCTAAACTGAGAAAGCAAAGTGGTCCTGTATGATTAGGAGAGGGAAGTCACATTTATCATTAAATTTTAATATAGTTGGTTTCATTCTGCCCTTACTTTTGTCAAGGTAGTAGGTAGAAAAAGAGGTAATTTTTACACTGGAGGAGGGCAGAAGTGGGCCCATTTCTGATAGTGTGAGGTGTCCTGCCTGCCCGCTTGGGAACAGTACCTTGCTTGGGTTGGGCAGCGTGTGCGAACTGCGACTAGAAGTTACGGGTTTAAAAGGCAGCGAATACCAGCCTGAAACGCCAGTGTCAACAGCACTGCAGGGTGTGCTGCCTTTCAGTGTAAAATGTCACAACTCCACAACCTGCTTTTTACAGTCACCTTAGAACAAGAAGAGGCATGATTTGTATTTGTGTTACCCACTGAATGAATAATACTAGCTTTAGTTGTATTAAATATCTGAAAATGTATCTCATTTCTTTTTGCTATTTGTAGTACTGTAAAAAGAGGCAGATGCAGAATGTAAACATGGTGATTTATTTACACTTTAGAAAGTGTATTCTAGAGAATAATTCCCTTGAAACATATGGACTGTATTTGCAGACATAGAGGTGCGTGCCAGAGTTAATTCTCATCAAAAATTTTATTTCAGATAATGGGCAGTCACTATGTTTTCCTACACGCCTAGGTTTTCTGCACTGTGGTAATTGTACCCTCTGTGAACGAATACATTTAGGTAGTCCTTTTCTCTGGCACAGCCTATGGTTCCTTACTAGAGCTCCAGTAATTAATATGGTAATTTAAAGTGACATAAACTACAAACTCTCATTACACTGTCCTAGTTAAACTCTTGTTTATGCAAAAGTATAGTATTACTTGGAAATGTTTTAAGCAGTCACAAATTACTCTCATTTGCTCACTACCTCTCTGTTTTCTCTGCACCTTCTTGAGGTCCAGAAGCTACTAGTGTCATCAGGAGTATTCATAATCTCTCCTGTGGGTATCACTGCCTGAATTTAGGGCATCTGATCACATTGTGAGAAGCATCTGGTTGTTTCTGAATGGCTGACGTGTTATCTGTTCCCCACACTTCAAGTCTGCCTTTCTGTTCATAGAGTACCATGTTCAGTCTTGAGTTGGATAGAAAACGTGGATATTTATGCATTATTTTAATCAAATACTATGTCTGACTCACACTACATGGTTAATCTTGTGCTTTTTTTAGCACAATTTAATGGTTATCTTCCAGGAGACGCCTCAATGAGATGAGGAATAGACTAAAATTAAATTTGGATGTGTTGTACCTAAACCTGAGATGGGGAAACGAGTTATCAAGATTCATTGGCATATGAATACATCTACTTGGGCAGTATATTAGATATGCCAGAGAAAGTGGCCAAATGGCTAAGTCAGGAGAAGGGGGGTGGGCAGCAAAGCAAAGTAAAGCCCTCACCTATTTGTGACAGGAATACTGGCAACCCAGCAACATATCTCCTCCAGAACCCAGAGCACTAACAGCGAAGAGAGGTCTGAAAGTTTAAACAAAACCATCGCAGTTGTTTCCTTAGCTATAATGAAGGGCACTTGGGCAGTTAAGTGAAATGGTGCAGACTGAGTGAGAGAGACTGCTAATTTGACGGGGAATAGGCTCAGACCCATCCCAGCAAATGACAGAGAAGACAAAAGGAATTGAAATGAACACTAGCTTCACAGTTCATCTAGATTGCAATGCTAGTTAAAGAGTAATTGCACATCGGACCCCTTGCAAATTGTTAGATCCATTGATTTTAAACCATCATCTCTCTCCAGAAAGAGAAATACAGTCTTAGAGTCCTGTCAGGGTTGCAAGCTTGGTCAGAGTTTACAGCTGGAAGGACTAGGTCAAGGTATAGCCTGGCCACTACAGGCCCACAGTGGTCTGCCTGTATGTAGGCTCTGTTGCATGTGTAGCTAAATCTCTAGCCTTTGGGTAATCCTGTTTCAGTTTTTAATCCTTGTTTAGTTTACTGCTGATACTTGTGCCTCATGCTCTCAGTTGTGCAACAAATCCAGCAGAAAGTGCAGTGATGCAGATGTTGTGTTCTACCATGTGTTCCTCTCAAATATTAATTAACAATTTTGCAATATTTTGGATAGCAGTTCTGATTTTTGGACACTTCATCTTAAGGGAGACTATGGTATTTTTGAGAAGTGAGCCTCTGCAATGTTAGGATCAGGTTTGAGAACCTCAGTAAGAGAAAAATTGCAGAGCATCACAAAGAAATTTTTTAGAAATCTTGTGGAATTCTGAAGGCAAAATGGAAAATGTGGATTACTTATGAAGGGAGGAAAAAATAGAGGGAAGACAAATTTTTTCTTTTCACTGTTGTAGGTTAGTTTCCACCATGCTAACAGGAATAATAGGTTGCTATTGCTGAGAACTGAACCCCAGCTACTTACCAAGACATAATGCATACAGGTTCTGCTCTAGAAGTGTGATGCTATTTTCCAGGTGAATTAGAAAGCAGTTCTGGAGTTAAAATTTTATGCAAAGTTAAAATTTTGGCACGTATACACAAGGTGAGTTCAGATACATTGGAGAGTTTGGAGTAGGTGGCAACATAATTTACTCTTAGAGCTCAAAGTTGTATAAACCTCATGCATGAGGCCCAGACGCTGCAGCCTGAAGATCAGAGAGGCTCCAGCAAAGCTGTTTCCCTATCTACAGCTGCTATTGCACAGAAAGTTACTAATCACGGTACCATTTTCTGTCTCCTCCTTCTGATCCTAAAAACCCTGCAGTGAAAAGCAAGCCAGTAAGCTTTTGCTGACAACAGTATTTCTTTTAGTTGCTTTTCCATCAACAAACTTGTCCCTTAAGATCACTTTCACCAACAGACAGTCATTGCACTCGGAGCAGTCATACCATGTTCTGTACCATCTTCTAAAACTTATGCTTTGCCAAAAAAACCCAATTTGACATATGTACTCTAGAAGAATCTGTGTCATTTTCTGAACATTTTAGAGAATTTAACAAATCTGACAGACAGGGGGAGTTATGATACTTGATTATTTTTTTTTTACCTCAGCTGTAACAAACAACTGTAAAGAATTTATCTTGACTGTAAGTCCTAACAGCTGTGATTGTTTGAGACAAAGCACGTATGAAATAGAGTGGCTGGTCTAATCATATATGGCCTTCTTTTCAGATAAATGATGGATTATACTAAAATTACTTTGAGCTTTCAAGTGAATTGTAGCTAAGGGTAGGAAAATATCATGCTCCAAATGACATGTTAGTATTCTCTGCTGCACCATCATCTGAAAGAACTAGAGATTTTGGGCTGTCAGGTGTCTTTTACAATTTTCATTCCATTTGGTTTTTGTTTGATAGCAAAACTGTCCTGGTATTTGATATATAGCAACGCTAGCTAGAATGCTTGGTTACTATTTGTGGTGTTTATCTCCTTTTATTGTAGTTGAGTAGCGTTTCTCTTATAGGCACAGAAAATGGGAAATAACTGAAGACGACCTCACAGCAGGAAAGTGAGATCAGAATGGCAATGCATCAGTGAGTGGTATGATTGAAGAAGACAAGACAAAAAGCAGGCTACAGCAAAAGGTAACTGGCAATATCTAAAGAAACTGGTACTGAATTTGGGCGAGGTCAATATTTAGACAGTATTTCACTGTTTGGGTTGAAAGCTATAATTAGAGTTACGGCCAGAACAAAGAATCATTTAACCAAATGCCTAATTTCAGCTAATTCACCTATTCCTTTCTTTACTTCTAGGTCATACAAGTTTGTCAATTACTGGTAGATCATTGGCTATTGGAATCTAATAATCAGTAGATGAAGTATAGGAACAGAAATAGAAAATAAAACAGCATTCCTGAGTCCCCTCAGTTTTCTGAAAATTGAGAGGCATACACTGAATGGGAGTACTGTGCCTCAGCGTTTCCAGCTCAGAGGGACCCGTGCAAATAGTAAAACATTCCAGAAACCACTGAACAGCTGTAGTTTTATGCTGGGGGGCTTACGCAACTGAGAAAAACGCACTAGCTGACTTCCCTAAAACTGTTCTCTTGGCAGTTATTCTCCATTTGACCCTGCTTTAGCATCAGCACAGCCTGGCCAGACCCTTTGCGTGAAGCAGGCAGCACATAATGTGCAAAGATGAAGCCTGAACTTGTTTATTGAAGAACTGTGCATGCCCCTCCCAATCCAAGGCTATCGAATGTATGCCACCTTTTCATCCTCTTCTTTATAAACTCCCATTGGTTTTCATATTTCCTCCTTTCTCCCCTCATTCCCCAAGCCTAAAAGTTTATACAATTTTCCTTCCCCCCCGCCCCGAGGTATATTGAGCCCAAGAGGTATTCTGCTACCACTGAAGTTGCTCAGGATTTCCCCCCCTCAGGTTCTTTACTTAATGTAGAACAATCAGAAATGGAAAGCATAGGGCAGGAATCAACATGTGCTGTCAGAGTGAGACTCTAGCTCCGCTGTTAGATTTTTGTCTTGATTGTTTTCTTCTTGGCTTTGTTTTGTTATTAGCAGCTTACCAGAAGACAACAATTACAGGTTTTATTTTTCTCAAATCAGGCTTTATTTCAGATAAAACATATTTCTTTACCCATGTGTTTCCTAAAAAGCACTTTGAAGGGAAAAGGGTTCAAAAATATTTTGCCTTCAAATACATTTTGTGATGCTGTTCATGTTCTTAAACATAACATTAAAAAATCCATGTCAGTACAAGAGAGCCACACATTCAAGCATTTGCTCAGCTTGATTGGT